TTTAAATAGGAAAGGCACAAGGCATTAGAAGATATGGGAATATCAGTGCAGTCCTCGGGAATTGCTGTTGAAAAGAATAAGTTTTACCTTGTGAACTTGAACGCTGACCCTTCAATGAATGAATTATTGGTTTATTATTTAAAGGTAATAATATTTTATTAATAGTATTATATTATTTTATTAAATTTTATTAAATATGATTATTTACATTTACTGCAATTTTATTGTATTCATGTAATGAATTTAGTGGATATTTACATAGTTAAGTTAATTTTGTGTTTTTATTCAGGAGCATACAAAAGTAGGGCGGCTAAGTCCAAACTTACCTCCACCAGTAAGTAYAAGAACCAACTCTCCYTGTTTTTTCTTATAATAAGGAATCATAGAAATGCAATTTTTTGCAAAAGTCTATTTGCAGTGATTGATGYATTTTAAACAGTAAAGCATGAWGCAGTCTTCACAATTTCCAATGTCAGCAAAATTTGTCTTTTTTTTTCTTGTTTTCTTTACAAGAATGGTAAAAAGGATGCGTTTGTAAAATGATGAAGTTTTATCGTAAAATTGATTGACATAGTCTTTTTTTACAACGTGTGCGAAGATTGCATCCCTGAACATTGCCTACAACCTAATTATATCATATAAAAGAGATTATTTAGATTTGTCTAACATGCTTTGCGTTGTTTTATTCAGGATATTCAGCTTGGAGGTCTTGGTATTCTACCAGAACACAGCACGATGGACATTGAGGGAAATGAAGTTTACCTTACATCCATGCCCAATGCAAGGTAWGGACCCTGAAGTGAACGAATAACTGAATGGATAAATGAATGAGTAAATGAAAGGATGAAAGTTGAATGGATATGTRATAAGGTTGAAAATAATGTACGYTAYATGCGTTGCGTGACATGCAGTGTGACGTGAGGGATGTCAGTTTCTTTGTAATAAAGTCATTTCTGCTTTGGCCGGCGTACTGGCGAGTACGTTGGGTAAATCTATGAAGTTAATTTGTATTTTTTTGCTAGTTATTTTTACATTGTACGTCCAAAATCTCCAGAAAACGATTAAGAAATAGTTCAATTGGTCACAAATACTACAATCATATATAAATGGATAAGTAACTGGAATAATGAATAAACGAAAACCTGTCTTTTCAGAACATTTGTGAATGGTAAAGACGTCAAAGAGCCAACTCTTCTTAAGCATGGTGACAGAATCTTGTGGGGCAACAACCACTTCTTTCGAATTAACTGTCCATTGACTCCTGGAAGTGAGGTCCAACCTGAACAACCTGTYGACTTCTTGTCAGCTCAACATGAATTAATGATGAATCAAATTGTACAAGGTAACATCTAGCCCCTGAGAAATACATACCTCCCCCTGAGAAATACTAATGTCAATCCTGTACTGTATGTAGTTTAGGTGAGATTTCAGTTTGATAATAAAGTCAAAAATATACTCCAAAAGAAAAAGAAYGAGWTTRCAAAGCTTGAGATCATGAGATAAAGGATGATTMGAAAACRMCAAAGTRCGCCATTGCTTGTTTTCAGTCGACGTCACAACATGCTTGTTGCGTGCTTGTTCATTGACAAATGACTTCTCATTTCTGTCATTCAAAGAACATGGTCGCCAGTCTTTTGAATCGGAAGGGAACAATTCAAAACCAGCAATGATTAGTCTGCAGTCACATGACATTATATCGAGTCACCTTTCATAGAGACTGATTTTTGAATAAACACATTAAAATTTGTTTATTCAATGTTAGGTCCTCTGCATGAGTCTATTAAAGCACTTGAAGAACAGTACCAAGCTGATAAGCAGGGTAAGATTACTGCAATGCAACGTATCGGGGGSCCTGTGTATGTAGTTGGACGAGGAGGGCTAAGTTAAGAGGTTCACTTTAACTCCCATTTCAAAAGCATCTCAAGTTATGGAAGTTTTGTTTTATTTCATGATTAGGAGCGCTGGAAAAGCAACGTCTAATGTACGAGGAAAAAATTGAGGAACTGCGAAACCAAGTCCAAATTAACCCTAACCGTCAGTCAATGGATCGATCATGGAGTATGGGCTCTTTTAGTTCGGGCTATGGGTCCCGTATGTCATGGTACGAAGATAGAGACTTGTCAAACCAGTTTGAGAAACAGGAACAGCGACCTCTTGTGTTAAAGGAAGCAGTGTTACAGGCAAACACTCTTGTGCGGTAAGGAGAGAAGGGAAGATTCTCTGTTCAAATCACTGTTTCGTTATCTTTAATTTTACTGATTTTAATCAAAATTAAAATTAAAATTTGACTATGTGTGTTTTGTAGAGAGGCCAATCAGCTCAGCGAGGAGATGGGAAAAGACACCGAGTTTGCAGTAACCTTACAGATCCCAACATCAAGTCTAAGTTTCGGTCGAAGTCGGTCAGGATTCAGCAGTGAGGTCGCCATTGTTGTCAAACACAAAACCAAGGGAACACAAAGTAAGCGTTTCAGAAACCAGTGCAATGGACTAATAGTCTCCTTCACGGTTCCCTGCGCCATCTTRAAAGGTAGCCGTGCCTTTACATCGAAGCGAGACGACCGTTGAGCGTGCAATAATAAATACCTGTATCTAATTGTCTGAGGTGTGAAAGAAGGTTTCTATCATTGCCCGCTCAACAGTCGTCTCGCTTTGATGCAAAGGCACTGCTACCTTTCAAGATCGCGCAGGGAACCGTGAAGAAGACTATTAAGTGTCCACGATAGCGATTGTCCGATTTAAAGGAACTRTTTCCAGTAATTTCTTTGGAGCTGAGTTAAATTTCTTTTATTTCTATGTAGTCTGGTCGCTTGATAAACTGGAAAACAAGATATTTGACATGAGGGAACTGTACAACCAGTGTGTTGAGGAGGGTGTTTCATTCAGCAGTAAGGTACATGTAAGTCGTTTATTATTAAGTGAGCATCAAGTTCTCAGTCAAACACTTATGCACTCATGTTACTTTTTTCAATTCCAGGATGAAGATTCCGATCTGTTTTTCGAGGTCGAGTGCCACACCCTTATTGGTGTTACCAATGTCTTCCTGGAATGTCTGCTCCATGACGTCAGTCATGAATATGCTGCACCAATCATTAGCCAACAAGGGGAGGCAAGTCAGGTTGTGTTTCTAACAGTTTCTCTGGAGTGAATATTAATTGTATGTTTTCTTGTAGGTTTGTGGAAAATTAAAAGTAGAGGTTTCTCGGATCACAGGTAAAATATAAAATCCATGTGTTTTCCGAAATAGACATTTTAGAAGTTGTATTTTGTCAGGGAAAAAACAAAAAGCTGTGTAATATATTCCTTTTTTTACCAATAGCGTGTTACAAATGCAAGCATTTATTTTTTTGTGAAACTTGTTTGAAACATTTATGTAAACTTTGGACGTCTCGTTCCAGTACTTTGTGAAAGTTCTCTCGCAACAGTAATCGAGGCAAATTTCAAAAGAAATCTTTATGTAACGCCTAACCCTGCTTCAATATTCTCCTSGAGTTGCTCTAACTTTTTTGTTTTCTCTACAACATAGATTCAGATAATGAATCGGTCGAGTCTTCCTCCGAAGATGGCCGAGTGAGTCCCGAAGATGACGACATGGAAGACGTCGATGATCTAGAAGACCTTAAACTTGGGCATCGCATGGAAGTGTGCGTCAATGTAATCGAGGCTTACGATCTACCACCAGCGTTGTGCAACTATGTATTTTGTCAGTACCAGCTGTGGAAGGATAAGGATACAGTTGTTGTACCGCCCATCAATGCAAGCTTGTCACATCCAGGACCTAAAACCAACACTATGATCTTTGAGAATAAGCAGGTAAGCTGGGTGGTCGAACCTCTTTAGTCCGACCACTTGAGACTAAGACTAAAACCAACCACTTGAGAGTGCTATCTACAGCATGGGGTTCAGTTTCATCATTGGGTTTCAGTCGAAACCCATCTAAACCGAACACTTCTAAGTGTTAAAAGAGGCGTTGTACTGAAGTTAGCCACTTTTAAAGATCGTTTGCTCTTCATTTATCCATAAGCTCCCATTTTCTCATTCAAATGTTTCTTTTATCTCCTGGTTTTTAGTCATTTGATATCGAAATAACAGAAGAATTCTTGGAGTATGCGTCTGAAAACTCGCTAGCCATCGAGGTTTGGGGGAATCGCAGCCAAGGATTTGATTCAAAAAGTAGTTTGAATTGGAATTACAACGTAGARGCACCACAGAAAGGACTTCATGATCGGTGAGGAAACAATGAATATAATATGAAAAGTATAGCTTGCTTAGGAAGTGTTGCGTCTATTGGGAAGAAAATAAATGAGATAAGTATTCGTATGGTGTGTAACTCGAAGTGCGCAACGCSATGTGCGTAACTCGAAGTGCGTAAYTCGTAGAATACTCGTTCTTCTTAGAAATTACTTTGGAATTATTTCAACTCRTATAACTTCTAACTTATTAGATGGCATGAACTCGTTCGTAAACTCGACCTCTGGTTTGAAGTCCACGAGATTAACGATCTTGGTGTGTACGCACCTGTTGAGCTCAACATTCGTGAAGGTAAAGAAACTGGGGGAATCTTCCAACTCCGTCAAGGTCACTCGCGTCGTGTRGTGGTGAGAGTTAACCCCATTCCTAAGTCAGGAGCTCTTCCAGTTGTCTGTAATACMATTACTAATGTATCTATTGGGAGTATATGTGTACGAAACAAGCAACAGAAGGGATTGGATAGTTATCAAGAGAAAGACTTATCATTGTGAGTATTTTTGCATTTACTAGACCAAAACCCGTGAAATAGATATTACACTAATACACCTTGATCACAATTGYATTGTTTTCTTTTGTGACTATTTGACTATTTAAGTTTTAGATCAAATAAATGGTTGTAGGTYGGTCTATTCATTACGATGTAAGCGCTACTTCAACCTAAAAGTTATTTMAGCTCGACRAAAATAAATRACTTTTAGGTTGAAGTAGCGCTTACATCGTAATATTTAAGTTTTGTTTCACGGGTTTCATGACTTCACTCTMGYTCTTTTTCACGCTTTCATTGTTTACACTCTATAARAAATCTTATATACACACAGCGAGAAGACAAACTGGCATTTATATTGTTGTTAATGAATGATAATTTCTTTGCCTCAGAATGCGAGAAAAATGGTCAAATTCTCTTATGAAGCGACGCGAATATCTCGACCAGCAAATCCACTCMTCAATAGGGAGCTCAGGTAAGAATAGTCAATRTGCAKCGAYGYCATTTTGTACAGCAAAGGATGATGGTAGTTGTAGTCYTCGTACGTCTTTATGTCCGCTACAATARTCCTCC